GGTTGTTTACTGTGATTACTATGTACATTGGATTTGATACACAATGTGGAAGTCCACCCCGGAAATGTTTCCGCCTTTGATTTTCAGGGTGTGACAGATTGGTATCAGAGCCCTTGTTTATAGTGAACGGAGTATACCAAAACTTACATGGTATAAAACTATAAACACTAAAGGGCCTCAGTGCTCCGAATTAAAAGTATCTTCAAACTACAAGTATTTCCAAAAGTATACAAGTATACCGAACCATCGAAATGCGTAACTACAAGTAGAACAAAACATAAGTAAATGGGTGTTATACACTGCGGTTAAACCTGGGCAGTTATGTAGTCGTGTCTAGGATCAATATAGCCTGGCCAACTATATTTATTCGAGAGACGACCAACATGTGCTTGGGATGAACTGTGGTACGCAGCATGCCTAAAACTTACCTAATATCCCAAACAATGAATCGTCACTGCAGCGAACCATGAAATACTATGGGAGTATTTCTCGAGCCAATACTTTGTTGAAATCCTTGTATACGTGTTATTCCTTGACCATTCCTCTAGCGATAAAATGTTCTGTCTTGATAACTCTTTCCTGCTTTATCGCTTAGTATAATGCTATATCTGTCTTGATGAGATATCCCCTGTTCCATATCTCTTGATTCAATTCAGAGGACTTATGATCCTCTCTTTCCTGATCTCTCTAGATCAAGATGCCTCCAAGAAAGAGACCCAACTCGAAGAACAACGACAATCCTCCTCCGCTACCACCTTCTCCTCAGTTTGATCTCACATCACTTCAAATAGTTCTGACTGCCGCAATGGTGGCAGCCATGTCACAAATAAATCCCGGTGGCTCCGGAGGTGGTCCCCAACCCCAAAATCCAGAAGACAGCCAGGAACACCGAAGAGGGGGTTCCTGTAAAGATTTCATGAACGCGAAGGCCACAACCTTTGATGGCACGCGAAGGCCACAACCTCTGACAAAGTAAAGTTCGCCGCCTGCACCTTCCTTGATAGAGCCCTGACTTGGTGGAACGACCGAGTCAAATCTTTAACTTTAGCTGTAGCAAATGCCATGGGTTGGGAAGCTATGAAGGAGCTTCTTCTCGCAGAGT